AAGCATCAAAAAGGCAAAGCCTCAACCTGGACACATTTGCCAAGTTAAGGCTCTGCTCAACAGCTGATCTGTTTTTTTCCCCTTGCAATCAAGATTGGCTTGGCTTTATAAACTGTTTCGCCACAGTTCAGTTGGTAAAGATTCATAATGATCAGTTATAATGATTGGAGAACTATCTTTCCTGTACATATAAAAAAAATCCATTCTCTATAAATATTTATGCTGACGCTCTTCAGAATCAGATATTACAGCTTGCATGTAGTCCCAGATCAGCTTCTCTGATTGGTTGGTGCTTCACATCCGGCAGCAAAAGTTTAGATCTTCCAACTCTCTAAGAAACTTGTGGAAAGCTTCAAACTGCACAGTGCAAAATTCCCCTTAAGGCGCATCCTCTTTAGACTTTCCATGTAAACCAAATGCCATTTAAGCTCAAACCCATTTGGTCAGAACACAGAATCAACCTTTCACTGGATCCCATTGACAGTAATAGGGATTGTCAGTAAACTCTTTTATTCCTGTCATGGGAAACCTTTGGCCACTGCATTAAACTTTTATAAAATTTGGTTAGTTGTTTTCTTATTAAATGATGTATTTTAAGGCTTATTGGGTACCAGAGCCAATGTAGGTTGCACTTTGTGCTCTGTTGCAATATTGCTTGGAAATAAACTGTCTAGGTTCCCCCGTAATTTCCTCCATAGACAAACAATCCATCCATTCTTCCTCCTCTTTATGTTTTGCGAGGTAAAGTGTATCAGAGGCTCAATAGAGGAAAACATAGTAGCTCCCGTTTCTACTTCTGAATAATCCACAGGTTAAGACTCGCCCTAAAAATAAGCCATCCAGATAACCTAATCAGACCAAACTCCTGAATTTCCAATAGCAGCTCTAATCTGAACTCCTCTAGATAACTGAGCACCTCATATTTTCTCTAAAGCCGTTCCACCTCATGCATAAAGGTTTGTCTATACTACTTTTTATAAATCAATCAATTTTATAAGTCAAATTCCATATAATTAAAATGGGTCTTATTCCAGCAAAATGATTCTGATCATCTAAATATTTCTGCTGAAAACAATCGTTGACATAACTTGCTGTGTTATCCTTCAACTCTGCAAATATTCAGCTATGTTTTATAATTTCAAATAACTTGATTTGAATACTATAAAGGTTGAAAAGATAGAAAGCAAAAATGTGTGAATGAAAAAGGACAATATCAGATAAGTTCAACTCAAATATAACAAGTTTTTTTGTCTTTAACTCTAGTGACTGACCTTTAAAAAGGTTGTGAGTTGGTACTTTTTCCCCATAGAACTAATCCAGTAGCCTTGTATTGCATTTCTTTAGATTTTTCAGTGAGTTTGATGCATTGTCTGCAGTCACCAACAATTCAGTTCATTCAATGTATTTTTGTAACTTAAGTACTCAAACGCAGAAAGTACATTGTTAAACTTGTACATTGTTACTTTCCAATAAGATGTGGATGTCTAACCTGTTTTGGACATGCAGTGAAGTAAAACACAATTCCCTGAATCTTCCATTTGCAGAAGCCTTTGCTGCTGATTACCCACTTAGAGAGGATTACCGTCATTTTGAAGCCCATTTTAGTGCACTTAGCCCCCCTCCAGAGGAGCAGCTGTGTTACAGCAGGTCAAGCTTTACTGTGTTTGGAGTTGAATTAGTAAATGAATTACAGGATATCCATAATAAGGTGAACAAGCCATTATGGATTATTGGTTCTGTTTGCTACAGAAACAAATTTGATGTGATCTGCTGAAGATTGGCAAAATACATGCGAAATAAACCCTTTTCTAAGTTAATTTGGTCTGAAAAAAAAAAACACTAAGCAATTTCCAGCAGCTACGTGGGCATGCTGCTTCCAGGAAAGAAAAAGCACAACTCCCATAAAAAAATACAACTGTCCACCACAGAAGTTACAACAGAAGATTTTATTAACCAGTGATATATCTGATATATCTTTAATATATTTAAGATTTTATTCATGGTAGAGAATTTAGGGATTTATTTCTTTTCAACCTCTTTACCTTTCAATTGGTCCAAAGCAGTGTTCATCAAGCCTTATGGTAACAGTTTGTGAAACATGGCATCCAGGGGAGCAAAGAAAGATGACCAATCTTTCATGACAAGGTGGAGAGAATCCTGGGGTTTTGTGCAGCAGATGGCTAGAGCTAAATAAGATCTTTGTCTCTAGAGTGCCGTTTGCCAGACCTCTGGTGTTAAAAAGGTTTTCTGAGACAAAACACCAAGGATGAGGCAGAGAAGATTGTGTCCAGATATGAGAGGCAGGCAAGAAACATAGTTCCATGAAGAACTAGAAGATGTTACTTCAAGGCTGGACTAATGTAATTGTTTACTATCAGGAAGTCCAAAAACTGTGGTTAAAAGCCTTCAGCTGATTTCGAGAGAGATTTCTAAAAAAAAAATAGAATGGGAAGCAGATCTTTTAGTTATCAGGCTCCTCTCCTGTGAAACCAACTACCAGTTTTAGTCCGTGAGGCAGACACCCTGTCTACTCTTAGGCCCCGTCCACACAAAGTCAAAACGAACACAAAACGCTGATATTTTCCAGACAATTGTCATAAAGACGGAGACGTAAAATAAATGTGATCGTCCACACGAATGCATGAAAACGCTGCAAAATGTATGCCAGGCCTGTAAGTGGCGCTGTGGTGCCAAAGCAAAAATAAGCAACGAAATGTTGGGCATGTGCACTAATATTTATACATGGTTGCCCTGCGGGTCCATTTTCGTGGTTCAGTCAAATTCAGGTGCTGAACTATGTCGTCGATATTGCTCTGTTCTTCCTGGAGATATTCCAGAAGAAGAAGATTCTGTTGTAAGCCCGACAGCAGGGTGAGTAGTAGGGGTGTAAATCACATCCATCATGGCGATTCGATTCAGTATCGATTTCCTGACCCAACGATTCGATTATTTTCGATACTTAAGAATACACCACGATTCGATTCGATTCGATTCGATTAATCGATTAATCGGTTAAATTTTTTTTAATTATTATTATTATTTTTTTTACATCTTACAGGCTAAACAAAGTTTCAAGTTTGAAATAAATCAATGAAAGCTGTAATATCGTTATGCAGTTTCTTTAGAAACAACAGCAAATAACAGAAGTAGAAAAGTTGCATCAAAAAATACTGTAAAAATACTGCACAATATCAGTGTAATGAGTTCGATGCAATACCTCGGCTCCAAAGAAACTGTCCAACATATTTTTTTAGAATTTAATAAATATACTCAGGAAAGAGAGATGTTGTGTAGAGAGTTATACAGGAATAAAAGTAAACTAGATATAAGGGAATTGTTTCAAAGGTCATCTGGGGATGTAGTTTTTGGTAGTATTTTTAATTTTCTAAGAAGAACGGGTATTTTAGGGAGAATATAATAGTTTGTCTGGTCCATACTCCATTCTGGAAGGTGGCGGTAATGCACCTATAAGTTGTTTGCCAACCGCCATTAAAAAAAAGAAGAAGAAGGCTCCAGAGTGTTGACGTCACCGCCCCTTGAGACGCTCCGCTGCACCTCTCCCAGATTGTAGCTGACCTCAAACAGTGCACCAGACAGGAGGCCGGCTAGTTTTGTTTTTATGACCGAAATTGCGGAAAACAACTCGTGAATTTGGACCCGCTAGAAGAGCGAGGTGCGCGAGAACGCTGGGAGCCTTTTTCCAGCTGAATCTCCGCTCTTTTTTCCCTCCGTCGTCGGACTAAACTCGCCCCCACTTCCTCGCCGCCTCGGCCGTATCTAGACCCACAGCGTGTAGCTCAGACCACGCTTCAATATTGAGCATAATTTAAAAATGTCTGTGTGAAGCTTGCTGCAACACACTGCTGTAAGAGTATAACCAGGAAGCGCGGTAGGAGGGCAAAATAAGTTTAGCGGCACCGCAGGGAGGGAGGAGAGTTACGCCCAGGAGCAAATGGATAAAAATAGACCGGAGGGAAAAAAAAAAAACATTAATCGATTATCTTGCGGACGTGTCGATGCATCGGATCGTCGGCTTTTGGATCGATGCATCGATACAAAACGATTATTATTTACACCCCTAGTGAGTAGCATGAGCAGCAACCATTTAACACAGTACGGCGCCATTGTTGTTGTGATACTGTGTCGAGCATGCGTGTTAAGAGGCGACGCTATGACGCATGCGTGTAAAAAAAAAAATGCGGTTAGAGCTTAAAGATGGAAACACAAAAACAGCGTTTCAGAATCTTCCCACTCTGAAGGCTGAATAAAAAAAAGATTGTTTACAGACCCCCGAAACGCCGGCTTCGTGTGGATGAGAGGCTGGTTTGGTGAAAAATTTGTGCGTTTAGGCCAGGGTTCGGCTTTGTGTGGACGGGGCCTTAACCCTGTCTAGGCTTAAAACTTTCCTTTTTGATGAAGCTTATAGTTAGAGTGGCTCAGGTTATCCTGAGCTATCTCTATAGTTATGTTGTTATAGGCATAGACTGCTGGAGGACATAGCAACCCCTTTTTCATCATTCTATCTCTATTCTCCCACTCTGCAGTATTTCTTTAGTTAAATCTCTAATGTTATGCGCTTTCTGTTTTTTCTAATCATAGTAGCTTCATCTGGTCTGTTCCTGCTGTTGCTGTCATCAACACCTTTGTTTATATGTGTTATAGCTTGGCCTGTTTTTCAGTGTAGTTCTGTTTCTTTGACTGACTGGCTGGATGTGCTCTGTTCCTCCTGTGGCATGGGAGCTGGTTCAGAGCTCGTCTGCCTGGCTGTGTGTGCCCTGGAAGGAGCTGGTTTACAGTTCTTCTGTCTCCTTGAACCCCAGGCCGCCTCAGCAGGTGGCCGCTCTGAAGCCATGGCTGCTAAATGTGCTAATGAAACGGTGAACACATGCACGTATCGACTGATACTGGTACGAGATAATATCAGCCAAAATAATCATCCGTCTTTCTCTATGGCTGACCCCTGTTCTAAATTGAGAAAGGACAATGAAAGCTACAGATACCTGCCCGTGGTTCCACAGTTCGATTGCCATTCGGATCCATGAAGACAAATCTTCCACCGGTGAAGTCTGAACCGTAGTTGGACAGGTACAGGAGAGATGTGTAGTCAAAAGAGCCATATGTCTCCTAGAAGACAGAGAGAAAAGCATAAAAGTGAAAACTAATGCACCTAACAGGGTAGTCCAGATTTATAGCACCCCTTTACTCTCGGTGAAAGAGGAATCTTCGCCAGGCACCAAATGCTTACAGCAGGGGACGTGGTATTTATTGACAGCTGATACATCTTTGAGCAAAGGTGATAAATGTGTGTGATGTGAGGGCTAGTGTGAACTGCCCATTGCTTTAACCAGATGTGATGATTCTGCTATGATGATTTCACATGTATAAAGAACTTGGCTAGTTTCAGGGTGTTTCAACGTATTAAAGAAAGTTGGAATGAGATAATGCAGCAATATTGGGTCAGAGTACAGAAGGAAAAAAAAATTTACTTTTAAAGGTGAAAATTATCTAATGTTGTAATATCATCTGCTATGCTTCTGAAAACACTGAGATTTACTACGACAAAAAAACAACAACAAAAAACAGAACATGACTGGCCAGATCTTGATCTAGAGGGGAATAGTTTTTATGCCAATATAAAAAGCATATTTGGCAAAACTTGTGCAGCACTGGGTCAATATATGGTGTTAGAATGTCCTTAGTAGGTTGCAGCATAAGAACTCCCAATAATAAGTAGATTAGTAGTTGGCATTGAAGACAGACAGCTGTTATAGTGCCTTGGGAAAGTACATGGCCCCTTTGAACTTTTCATCTTTGGCCACATTTCAGGTATAAAGGTATAAAGTTTTTATGTTTTGTGAAGAATCAGCAACTGGGACACAATTATAAGATGGAATTAAATTTATTGGACATTTTTAAGTTTTTTTAACAAATGAAAAACTGGGTGTGCAAAATTATTCAGACCCCTTGAGTTAATACTTTGTAGCACCACCTTTCACTGTGATTACAGCTGCAAGTCTCTTGAGGTATGTCTCTTATCAGTAGCATGTCTTTTTGCCCATTCTTCCTGCACAACAGCTGGAGCTCAACGAGTTCGGATGGAGCAGTTTTCAGTTCTTTCCACAGATTCTCTATTGGATTCAGGTCTTGACTTTTACTTTCTAAAACTTGGATATGCCTATATGTGAACCTTTCCATTGAAGATTCTCTCTTTTTTTTTTTTTTTGAGTTTTGGGGCACTACCTCCCTACGCTCCATCCATCTTCCCATAAATTTTAACCATCTCTCCTATCCCTGCTGAAGAAGAGCAGGCCCAAACCATGATGCTGCCACCACCATGTTTGACAGTATGGATAGCGTGTTCAGGGTGGTCAGCTGTGCTGCTTTTACACAAAACATAATTTAGTACTGGTTTCATTTGATCAGAGCACCTTCTTCCACGTTGGCTGTGTCTCCCATGTGGCTTGTAGCAAACTTTAAACAATACTTTTTATGGATATCTTTAAGAAATGCCTTTCTTCCATAAAGGGCAGATTTTTTTTGTAGTATGCAACTGGTTGTTATTGTATGGAGAGAGCCTCCCACCTCAGCTGTAGATCTCAGCAGTTCATCCATAATTCTTCCATTTCAATATTAGGTTGCACAGTGTTTCCTTGAGATGTTTAAAGCCTTGGAACTATTTTGTATCCAATCCTAACCTGCCTGGTGTGTTCCTTGTTCTTTACGATGCTCTTTGAGCTTTAAACAGACTCTGAGACGATCACAGAGCAGGTACATTTATACAGAGACTTGATTACACACAGGTGGACTCATTAATCAACTTCAGTCATTTAGGTCAACATTGGATCATTCAGAGATCCTCCCTGAACGTCTGGAGAGTTTGCTGCACTGAAAATAAAGGGGCCAATTCATTTATTCACATTCACCCATGTGCTGGGATATTTTTGCAGTCTCAAACTGTATCCTGCTGATCAATACAGTTTGGCAATGTGTGGAAACGCTTCAAGATGCCCCATTAACCCGTCACTAGGAGTGGGACTTTAACCCAGAACCTCTGGATTCAAGGCGCAATGCCCTAACCACTAGGCCACCACATCTTCAGTTTTTTATCTGTTAAAAAAGTGTAAAATATCCAATAAACTTTGCTACCCTTCACGATTGTGTCCCAATTGTTGATTCTTCACAAAAAATTACAATTTTAGGTCTTTATGTCTGAGGCCTGAAATGTGGAAAAAGGTTGAAAAGTTAATGGGAGGCGAATATTTCTGCACAGCACTGCAGGTGTTATAATTAACTTATAATGACACAGCATTTAGTCACAAAATAAATGGTGTGAACAAAGACATGCTGCCTTGCACCAATACTGGAAATTGATTTTCTTTTTAATCATTTATTTCCTTCTTCTTACATATGTCCAAAAATCTTTAGAGAGATTGAAGAATTAGATCATTGAGTTCCTACTTGCTCTTATTGTTTGTATAAAAGCCAAAATAAAAGCTCTCATTAACAGAAAGGAAGCTGTAGTTTATGCAGAAACATGCTTTTCAGTCAGGTAAACACTTTCAATACTCTATGAAGGTTAAAGCGGAGCTCCCAATTCAAGACTTAATGCATTGGAGTGCTGCTTTACTTACCTAATTTGAATTGGTTTCATTATTTCCTTAAACTCTAAGAAACCAAACTGCTGTTCCTTTTAGGAACAAACAATAAAAGCAGTGAATCAAGATACTAAAATTGGTTTAATAGATTTTAAAGGTTCATGAAATTCTTAGGTCTTTCATAAATGCTACATGCTATTTTGTTTGTGCTGGGCTTTTAATGGAAACAAGCAGTTTGTATTGTTTTGTGGGCTAAGTAACAGAAACTGTTCAAACTACTATATTGAATTTAGGCCTCATCACAGATCAACCTCTCTATGGCCATGTATGGAGAGCTGATTAAATGTCAGTTTCTTGTTAAAATATGCAAATTTTTCCTGTTTAATGAATCCCCAAGGTTTTGTAAAGAAGGGTAATTGGGAGTTGGTTTAAGCAAAGTATGTCGAAAATGTGTTCGTCATTTATCTATTAAAAGTTGCTGACATAGTGGCCATGAATAGGTGGCTAAATTAATGCAGTCCAGCTCAGCAAAATATCACAGGCTATAGGAGGTTCTTTCATGACATGATGAAGATTTTCACTGCTTATGCAAATGAGAGTTCATATAGAGGGCTTCAACTAAATATCCTGTAAGGTCTCCAGGCCACTGAATTATTGAAGGATTCTAGTTTTGCTTTATTAAGTCTTTCAGTCCTTCTAAAATTAAATGTTTTGTTAATCAAAACATCATCTTCCTCAGTCAGTCGCTCATCTTGAGGCCTATTCTATGGTCTATGTTTTATAAGGTCATTGAGGTCTAGTAAAGATATGAAACAAATCTGCAGTTTTCCCTTTGTACCCAAGTCCTTTCCTAAATCTGAACTTAAGTTTTCTTCACATCAAACTTTAACTCTGTTCCTAATGGATTTACTGCTGTTTTAAATGTGGTCCAGTTTATTTATATAGCCTATTTCATATGACAATCCTTGAATGACATATTCAATCTGCATGGGAGGAAGAAGGTTCTGGAACTTAATCCTGCCCTACAGGGTCTCTCTTGCATGTTCTCTCTAAGGATGTGTGGGTTTTCTCAGCAGGGATGTTGCTGTTGCTCACCACATCACGTGCACAAGGGTCTGTAGTGAGTTCTGTTCAATTTACGATTATTGTCACAGTGGATTAAAATTTGTTCCATCTGATTAATTGGTAACTTCATTAGAAGGACTTTCTCCGTGTTGTAAATTCTACAGCTGCAGCCCACACATAAGCGAAGGCCTACTGGTTTATTATCACCTTAACAGCGCACATATAACCACCAGCTTAAAGGCTCTGCTAACAGCACAAAGTCTGTCAGCAGTAGGGCTGGGTACCGAACATCGGTTCTTTTATGGTACCGACCGAAATGCTTTGGTTCTACAGAGTATCGAAACATGCCTCGTCTTTCGGTACCAAGTTTCGGTGATTGGCTGTAACACTTAACCTGATTGCGTCATCCAGGAAAAATACACAGGTGGTCCTGCCTACAGCCAGGGTTCATGTGTATCTGTTGTGAACTGGTTGCAGCGTCATGGAACCACTTTAAAATGCCCCCCAGGTCAAAAGTGTGGCTTCACATTATTAAGACTGATGCCAATAGTGCGCAATGCATTACATCGTGCACGGAAACAATTTAAGAGCAGAAAGTTGCTTGGTGTTTGACTGCAAGAAGAGCGGACCGCAGCCGGCGCGACCATCCTTCTCTCAGCAGCCCGTGGGCAGAGCAAAGCCAGAGCGGAGTGAATCATGCTGCTTTCAAACTGGACGCAGCAGGAGCAGCAAAATCACGTCTGCTGCTTCCTTTTTGCTGCTTGTACCAGCTTCTGACGCACGGCTGAAGCAGCTTTGCTGCTCTGGCTGCACGGTCGAAAAGTGGCTCAGACGCGCGTTGGGCGGAGCTACTCTATCCTTTCTCTGCCTTGCAGCTATATTTGCTGTGATCAGTGGGAATAAAGTAGTTTTATTATGTTTTTAAGTGGGAAAATCCACCTGAAAACTTAATCAGTGCAGTCAGTTCATCCTGCCTTCCAATAAATATTTCTGTCGGAGCCGCTCAGACCCCCACATACCAGCGGTGCGCTGTCAATAGGATCCCATTCAACGGGCTTGTTTGTCAGACATGGTAATTTTTCTAAAGGAAAACTGCTAAGTAAAAAGGTCCTCAATGTAACAGTGAATATTAGACACTGAATTTTTTTTTTTTATGTAAGAGAAAAAATGTAAATGGAAAAATCAGAGCTTAAAATAAAACTCAAGATTTGTACTTTTTTATGTTGCGTAATTTTCTTTTTCTTTGAACTGATATTATAAAACTGGTATCGAAAAAAGTATTGTTCAGGAACCGGTATCGAAATGAAGGTATCGGTATTGGTACCGGAACCGAAAATTTTTGAACAATACCCAGCCCTAGTCAGCAGTGAATGCTGGGTAAAAACAGAATGCCACATTACAGTCACCCTCAGCTTAAAGAAGGTTGTGGGAATCCAAAGAGCATTTACAAGAAATGAAACTCAGTTAATAACTAGTAAATTACTAACATAAGTCCTGGGAAACGGTGTGCAAATGTAAGACTACTATGTACACACCACTATGTACACCCAGATCTAGAACCAACCATAAAGAATAGAATAGAACTCAACTTTATTGTCATTACATTGTCACTAGTACAAAGCAACAAAACTCATGCTGTTTCTCAATCTGTGTACTTGTGCGTTCTCACGTAGTCGTGAAACGTCATCAGCCTCAGCCCTAGTGCTGTTCCAATTCACAAGAACAGGAGACAGAGAACGGACAAAGTCCCCAGATGATGTTCTTGCCCCTCCCTATTTACCCAGCATGCATCAGAGCAGACTTGTCCGTTCTTGAGATTGACAGCTGTCCCAGCATGCACTGCGGCAGCAGCAGCTTTTAATGGAGCTGCTCACAGAGCTCAGAGTATCAAGTTAAACGTTCTCTTTTCTGTTGCTCTTGTTCAATAAAAGTAAGTTTTAAGTAGCCTAGTAAACTAGCCCCACCCGCCAGCGGCCAAAATAATTTTTCCTGCGATTAGGTCTAGCCTCCATCAATGCCCCAGGCCCTAAATATGGCAGGCCAATCATAACGCAGAGATGTGTTTTGAATATCTGGATGCAAAGTGGGCGGGGTTTTTTAGGGCGTGACAACAAAACTGCACAAAACAGTAGCATGTACTGCGGCAGCAGCAGCTTTCAATGGAGCGCTCCATTAAAAGTTAAAAGTTCTCTTTCCGTTGCTGTTTTTCAATAAAACTATTTTTCAAGATAATTTGAGGCGAGAATATTATACTTTAAAGCGTCACTATATGGTCCATTTACCGATTTAATGCGTAATTAAAAAAAATATTTCCGAAGTTGAGACGGCCGAAGCTAACGGCAGCCAGGGCTAACTGCAGCCCATCTGCAGCGGCCCTCTCTTGGCATAGTCATGTGTGAAGGACCGCTGGCTTTGATGGGGATTTTTGACTCAGCTTTGGAATCAGTTTTGCAAGGATTAGACTTGGGGTTTTTGTTGAAACGTGAGCAGGAAGACGCTATACGCTCATTCATTTTTAAGAAGGATGTATTTTTTTACCGACAGGCTGTTTGTTTACACTCCCCACATCAGCTTTCTGTCACGCTTACTACGTCACAGTCAGTTGCACTCATTGGTCAGAGAGTTGGCCCATAGGCACAGACAGAGGTTTGAAAAACAACGGGTTGTTCTCATCAACAATCTTCCGATGTCTCATTTATCAGGGCCAGACTAAATTACACATTTAATCTCACATTTAGTCTGGTTTATCAGGCTAACCAAGTAGCACTAAATTGGTGACTTAGCAACGACACTGTCAAGGAACGCTATGGACAGCGGAACATGCAAGAGGAGGAGAGTTTTGTGTCGGAGGTCGTAGATGAGTCTCCTCCATCACACATTTTTTATTTAGAGGAGGAAAGCGGGGATGAAGATGTTGTGGAAGAGGACGCCATGGCGGCAGAAGCTTGGTTTGGTGTAGAAGGCTTACAGCCGTACATGTTTGAGGCCTTGCAACACTGTCAGTTCTGTTAGCTCTATGCCTGCCGAAGCTACAGACGCAGACGTCCATCCCCGTGAACATATCTTATATCGTATTTCAACCTAAGCGTATAGTAGCTGATGATCGTTGATATATGATTGGCCGACTTTAGGTGTACAAGCTGACGCATAACTAACTGGCCTGCAGAAGGTAACGGGGAAAAAAGGCAAAGATTTTAAGACAGGATTTTTTATTAAATAGAAATTTTTATAAATTTTGTGACAATATCATCTGACAAAAAGTACATTTATATACATGTTTAAGCAAGAATGATTTGACATTGAAACTTCCCTATGACTTTAAACAGAGCCGAACTTGGGTTGTGCCCAACAATAATATTTGTTTAATTAAATCCTCTTGTAGAAATAAAACAAAAGAAAGTCCCTAGGGGAGTGTGGCCTAGTGGCTAGGGGTGAGGTGGTGGTTAGGGCATTGCACTTGGAATTCAGAGGTTCTGTGTTTGAGCCCCACTCCCACAGACTGCCACTCCGGGTCCCTGAGCAAGACCCTTAACCCCACACTGCTCCTCGGGTGCCACAAATGGCAACCAACTGCTCGCCAAGGGGATGGGTTAAATGCAGAGAGTTTCTTTCGTTGCTCTGTACTTGTGACAGTCTAATGACAATAAAAAAAAGTTGGGAAAAAAAAAACAACAAATAAATGTCAATGCAAGTGTCTTTATGTAATTCACCTACTTTAAATTGCCGACTAATATTAACGTGGCTCTGGGTGCCTTGAAGAAACAGCTATTCCACAATATAAAGGATAAAAAAAAAAATCCTTAGCCTGGATTTATTACGACCTCTGGTAAGAAGGTGGCTTAGGCTATTCTGCTGCTCTGACTGGATATCAATTAGAGTCCAGCTTAACGTCAACAAGACGAGGGCAGGAATGCGAATGTGTCAGCAGACGCCAACAGCCAGGTCAATTTCTAGTATAACATTCTCCTTCTCTGCTGTCACACCTCAAAAGTAGCTCTGACACAATATCAGCTTCATGATCGATGGGTAGAAAAGTCACCACTAAAGAAGTCAGAGGCTATTTGCATGTAAATGAGGGCAGGTTGTCCAATTGGCCAGAGAAAAGTGGCAAAGAGAGACAGCGAAGCTCTTCTCTGATTTGTTTGTTTCCTGTTGCTGAGAGAAAGGAGGCAAGGGTGAAGAGGCAGATATTGATGCGGCTGTAAAACCAATAGAGGATATTTGACAACACAAAGGGACTGAATGGAGGCAATCTAAAAATCAGGAAGAGGAAACAACAGCCTCCAACTCAGAGCGCTGCTTTTATAGTTTTCTAAACTAACAAATGAGGAAAAAGCAAGTCCCATTGGGAATATACTTTTATGCATCTAAAATATAAAACTAATTGATAAAAGAACATTAAAGAGCATCCAGTCCAATTTAAGAAGATAAATCAGTTTGAACCTCATTGTATAAAATGATGAGTCAGATCAGCTGCCTGTGGGAACTTTCTGTGGTAAACAGATTTACCATTTTTTACTCATCAGTCAACAAACAATTTCAAAGATCTCAGAGATTTTAGATGTTTTTTTGCAATTGTGGGACGATCTATTCCCGGATTCTTAATTTTTACCTAAGAATCTTAGTATTGTGGGTGGTTCGGGTCTAAAAACATTAAAAAAGGTTTGGATTTCTGTTTGCCTCACAGTCAAACAGGTTTTATTTTATATATACAATGTGAATCATTAAAAGACAATCTGAAGTCTGACTATTTTCTTTTAAAGCATTCAGCTGTTCCAATCACTTTTACACAATTACTTGCTTTTTCAAATCAATAATAAATAATAATAAATCATAGGATTGTTTTTAAAGCCATATGTTTGCAATGCATTGGTGCTACAACAAAGTGGCAGTTATGCACAAAGCTGTTTGCAATAAAACATTTTGAAGGAAGGCACGGACAGACGGAAGGATAGAACAACCGACTGAAGGATGGAAGGAAGGAAGGACCGACCGAAGGAAGAAAGGACTGGAGGAAGGAAGGAGCAGAGGAAGGAAGGGATTTTCTTTTCCATACATTTTTTAAAACTATTAACTAAGTCAGAGTATTAGGGGCAGGCTATAGCTTTTTTTTCTTCCTCTATTTCGAGAATAAAGTCGTAACATTACGAGAATAAAGTCATAAAATTATGAAAATAGTCATTAAAATTATGAGAATAAAATCGTAACATTATTAGAATAAAGTAATAAAATTAAGAGAATAAAGTCCTAGAATTAGGAAAATCAATATGTAAATAACAAGGATAAAGTGCAATGCAAATACATTAAGAGAATAAAGTCGTAAAATTATGAGAATAAAGTTGTAACATTACGATAAAAAAGTCACAACGAGAATAGTCATAATAATAGTCATATTACAAGAATTAAGTCGTAATATTAAGCCTTAAAATTACAAGAAACAAGTTGTATTTTATGACAACTCTTACAGCCAGCACTTTCTCCATAAAACGAGGAATGCCGAGCATTAGGCGAAGTTATACTTTGGCATTGGTTTGACAAATAAGAAAATCTTTTAGCACCAGCAGCATCAAATTGGGCAGAATGTCAAAGTGTATTCAGGTTGCTGTTTGTTGGTGCTGGTCGGCTTGAAGCTTTCTTTCTCAAACGGGTTGTTGTATGATGACTTCATTCTCGTAACATTGCAACTTTTTTCTCCTAATGTTTCGACTTTACTCTAAAAATAAAAAAAATCTCTAGCCTGGCCCTAATATTCCGTCGTAATAAACTGCTTAAAACAGACTCATGACTCTGTTTTTTGGACGATTACCTTATCAATGTGCGGATGCCAGTACTCGTCATGCTGGGTCTTGGCTTCGGTGCTGTTGATTCTGGAGAAGAAGGTGGGCTTGGTGAGGTACATCAGAGTCGGGTCCAAGCCAAATGTTTCAGCAATGACCGCCTGGATCCGGCCACGCACTTCTCTGATCGTGGAAAATGAACACAGCAAGTTCAAACCAACAGCTGATACCACTATAATCCTTGTATACTGGTTGTCTAATACACGTTCAGAGCCAGAAACACATGCCTTGATGTTTTTACTTTCAGACAACCAGAAAATATCTTTATACTCTCCTTATCATAAAAACTATATAATTTATTTGGAGAAAAACTGTGACAATGCATTAAATGCACAGAATCTTTGTAATTTAAGTCACCTGTAAAGCTTGAAATCCTCTTCTGTGAACACATTTGTGATTTGATCCCCGAAATACCTGCAGCAACATCCCCCACCAAAGCAGAACCACAGAGCCACAGGTAACCATCAGGAGGAACAGAGGGGGAAAAAAAATTGTTTGTTTGTTTTACAACAAATATTTTAATATTTAACACCTGTGTAATAGGAAGCATAAAGAATGAGAGTGATGCAGGGAGCTGCTAAGGCAACATTTCCTGATTAAAATCCTCCAGATGGTCAGTTAGAACCCTGCCCGCTGGGACACAGGAGACATGGTAGGAAGACATTTCAGAGCAGATGATCTGAATACAGCCCATTTCTGCCAGGAATAATGAATGAGGCATGGATGGGTGACTAGACTATGAGAGGACGACTCAATTGGCTGATGAATCAATTCATAGTTTGAGATACTATTGAAAACACAGCATATAGAAATCTCTGGTCCTACTTAACAACCCTGTGTTGGAATGTATGCAAATGCAAAGCACAGTATAATACCTAGAAGCTTGCATTGAAGCCAGCCCCAAACAAATAAAAGCAAGGTGTAATTTCCCACCTGTATATATTAACAAATTGTTTTCCCATGGACAATGCTCCAGAGTGAAGGTCCAGTATGGAGGCCTGCAGGGAAAACAGACATAACACTATTTACTTCAACTACTCTGACAAATGTGCAACTCCAGCTTCAAGGATCAACCTTAATCCCTCATCTGCACTTAGTTTTTTTTTGTATTTTGTTCTTCCGGATTCTGCCCTTTGCTTGTTTACCGCTCCTTGGGGACACTGCTGAAAATAAGTCATTCTCTCAGAGGTGTCCTTGCTGCTTAACTACAATGACTTCAGACTCTGTAAACATCTTCTTTCTGAGCCGAGGACCAATCAGCCCCCCAGGATGGAAGCAGAGCATTGCTGGGATGTTTAGATGGTTCCATTAAAAAAAAAGAAAAAAAAAAAAAGACTTAGTTTCCTTTTTCCTAACTGCCTTTTTATGCGCTATTGTACAATACCGCCCTCTACAGGTAGAAGGAAGAACTTAAGGAAAGAATCTGGAAGGTGTATTAAAGAATTTAAATCTTACTCTCACCTTAGAAGGAAAAAGTCCTTAAAGTGCAACAAAGCAATGAAGCGTCCACTAAACAACTCCATCGAATTATAAAATTGGGTGTTATTTTACATTTTATTGAGATTTAATAGAGGACAATTGGGAACCTAAAAAAACGGCATATTCCTTAATTCAAATTTGATGGCCAAAAGTCGACTAGAAATGGAGCTAAAGGGGAAATCTGACATCATTCATTGAACCAACTGGAGCTGCAACTAAGGATTATTTTTCAAAATCGGTTCATCTGTAGATTATATTTTTCAAATAATAATGGGATAGTCAAAGGTTCCTTAAAGAAAACTTTAAGAAATAAAACCAGGTGAAACTCAAACATTTCCATTCTATTTCCATTTGAGGCGTTCTGGATAGAGCACTTTGACAGATTACATTTTATTTATCATTATAAATGGAAAATGTTCATTTGTATGTTTAAAATCTTGATATAATTACTGCTCAAAGTGGGTTATTCTGTCAGCTAAAGGCATGACTTAGAGTCTCTATACTCCAGTTAATTAATTGATTACTAAATTAGTTAAAGAATATTTCAAACTGGAAAATTAATCTATAAATAAATACAAAACCCTTAAATTAAGTGTATTTAACCTTAATATGAGCAGGTAAATGTCATAGTTTGCCAATGGAATGAGTATTTTTACTCTTGAAATAAGATAATTAGATAATAGGCACTTGAAAAAAGACAATGCAATAGTTTTTTCTTATTTTAAATGTAAATTGTCTTGTTCCACTGGCAAATATTTCTCTTTTACCTCCTCAATCCAAGAACAAATGCATTTTAAGAAAATATTACTTATCTAGATTTCGATTTTTTTCAAGTGCAGTAATGACGATTAATTTTTTTTCAGCCCTAGTACCAACGTCAATTCAAAATAGCTCAGCTAGAAGAAAACAGTTAATCTGGAAAAACAGCACACTGCTGCTTAGTTGCAGCAATGCTACAACACCAGAATGCTCTACTTTTCTGGAGTAAAAAGGATCAGCACTGAAGGAACAGAGCTGGAAAACTGACAGGGTAGCCTACAGCCGAGCACAGCCTGCTGTTATCTGAGGATTTTTCTGCAAAATGTCTTTAACACGAAACATCTGAATTCCCTTTGAATTTGTTCAGAGGACATGAGATTTTACAGAGGAGGAGAACCTTGATGCCATTTCCATAAGTTTTAGTGCATTTATAATGAAAATCTCACCAAAAAAAAGGTTTCCTGCAGATAGATCAAGGATCAGCAGGTAGAGATGCATCTTTGTCGCAAAACTAACCTCAGATAGCAATAGTGTTAATAATGAAAAATCCAAAATAAGTGTTTTTTAAATAGGAGATCAGTTTCAAAGGCCAATCAGGTTCATTTCATCCCTAGAAACATAACATGTAAATTCATATACTTGAGAAGGAAGATATTTTTATTTTGAATATAAAAAATGTATTTTAACACTTTAAGGGTTGAAATTGAAAAGCCCCCCTTTTATGTGTTTAAATAACACATAAGACTAAAACATAAAAGCATGGGGCATACTGAAATAAATACATAATTGCAGAATATAAGGCTTCAAATCCTGAAATCATCAGTTGTGTCTGCTGCTGCTTTTACTCCGTTTTCTGGGTCTGGGTTTCTTATTATCATTAATATGAGGAACTATCTGCTCTGCTATCTGATGACAAGCTGACCACCTTCTTCTGCTTTGTCTCCAAAAAGACTGAATTTATTTGGAGAAACCTGTGATTCGCCACCGCTGTCCGTGTTGTCAGCCACAGTAGAAGTAGTCTGTTGTCCTTTTTACCTCACATAAGAGCACAATGAACTAAAAAACAAATAGCAGTGTGGAAGTATTTTTTGATTTGAGCTCATAACTGTTTTTCTGTGACATTTCTTTCCACCAGTATATATATATATATATACACACACACACACACACACACACACACACACACACACACACACACACACACACACACACACACACACACACACACACACACACACACACACACACACACACACACACACACACACGAATTTGTGAGAAGAGGTCAAAAGCACTTTAATATATTCTGGTATTGCTTTGTTTTTTTAGACATTTCCCAACACTAGGCTATAATCTTTAATTACTGCATAAAATAATGCATCATACAGCCTTAAAACAGACTGCAGCTCCAACTGCACTTAGAAGTCAACCCACTGCAGCATTTTCAACAACGAGCAGGATCACGTCCTACTCGTCTGTGAGCTTCTGGAAAATTTCTTGTCACAACATGTCACATGTGTGAGTGATTTTGTCACAGGCTTCACTGGTGTGCTTATGAAATATTCATCTAGCGGCATTTGAAGGTGAACTTAGTGGAGGACACTGGAGCTCAGAGGAGGAATCCAGAAAGCAGCAGCAGGTCCATCAATCCTATTTGTGGAAAACTTGGGAAAGGTCTAATTTCTTTATATTTCTCTCCACGGAACCTAGTCTGTAAACATTCATGCAACATTTCTGCAGACTTTTCCAAGAGGCTTTTAAAGCTCCCAGCTCCCAGTTTTGACATCTTTTTTTACTGACGTTCATTCTGTGCCCGGTCCTTATGTTTGTTTAAGGCAGTAAGCATTGGTCCATACATCATTTAGGTATTAAAGTCTTTTAAAACCAACAGATGTGCAGAAGATACGTCTATATAAAATAGGGGTGGGTATTGCCAAAGAAGTCACGATTCGATTCGAATCACGATTCACAGGCCACGATGCGATTCTATCACGATGCATCACGATACTTGAATTATTGCGATGCATTGCAATATTTTCTCCTCCATGTTTTGTTTTTGAATGACTCGGCACAGTATCCCACGGCCGGAAATGCTTGTGACACAAGGCAGCGTGCGTCAACACATTTGCAGCGACATCTACTGGACTGGAAGTTGTATTACACTTGTTTTTGGCTGATGTTCGCCAACCATTCATGCAATTTTATTTATTCATTTTTTTAAATTAATAATCGATTCTTGGCATCAAGAATCGATGCAGTAGATCACGAAAATTAGAATCACGATGCATCATCATCACGATTATTTTGCACACCCCTAATATAAAAAGAAAACTGTTCAATCTTGGTTTTTTTTACTATTTCTTCCCAACAGGCTACAAAAAGGTTAATAACACATATGATTTCTTAAAAATACTGTATATTTAAAGGTATTGTGGAGGATTTCTGTGAATCTTTTTTTTTAAAGACCCACCCTCTCCACAAAAAAATGCATATGCACAACCCTGTACCGGCTCCTGAGAGGGAACGCCTATTTAACGCGTGCCAGAGCATGCACAAGCCCATTTCTCCTCGTGCTCGCTCTATTTAAGAGTTGCTGTTCTCAAAGCTCATATAAGCTTACTGTGCCTGAATGTCCTCCCTAACCCCTAAATCCCTCACTCACTATATAGAGCTGGGAATATATAGTGGACTTTACAGCAAACTTAGTTAACTTACCGTTCTGACAGATCATCACTACTTTTTGCTCCACGTTGGTCACATAACTCCTCCACCACTATGCAGTGCCTGCGCCAGCTATTTTATTAGTCCAGCGTTTATGCAGGGATGAGTAACACTCATTTAACGGTTTTTAATGCTCTTAGAAATAATTTATAATGCCATCAACAAGTACCCATGACCCAAAAAAAAAATAATATCTATCTATCTATCTATCTCTTTCTCTCTATATATATAGTCATGGGTACTTTTGTTCCAGCCACTTTTGTTGAAATGAACAGCTTCCTATGCCCTCTCTCTCTCTCTCCGCCTCGAGCATCTTTTCCGAACATAGGGCTTTACAATTAACCAGATGCAGTTCCGCAAAAATATATTGCGATATAATATATCTGATGAAATTGTTTTTATAAACGCATACCTTTTATTTTAAATAAAGCATTTTGAATGCCACCATAATCACATTTGTTAAATTTTATTCCCACTTAAGGCCTTAATTTAAAAAAAAAAATTAAATGAAATTTAATGACTTTTAGGGATTTTTAATGACCCGCGGAAACCCTGTAGTCACCGCTGTCGGGTAGCGACAGAGGGCCGCTGTGACAGCAAATCGCCAAGTGCTTGGCGAGGAGAGCTTGCATTCCAGGATATATCTGCCTCTTCCGAGACCTTTCTTTTCTTCTCATAGACACTTTTTTCTCTTACGACCCTGGGCCATTTTCAAAGAATCGCTGTGAGAAAGGTGAGCTTCAATGACTGAAACCGTAGCTCAGAAAAGAAAAAGATAGCCAACAGGGACACGTAGGACGGCTTTACGTAAACATATCAACAGTATGACTGACAGTTTGGACGGCCACTTATTTAGATGATCCACCCAGAAATAAAAGATGATCTTCTATACCTTTAACCCATACAAGGTGAGTCCAAGAGCTGAAACCTTGACATACAAGATTACCAAGATGACGCATGTAGCAGTCTGTTAATTAAGAGGTTTCAGCTGTTATATATGTATATGTGGACGCACTGCAAATACTGTATATACCCCCGT